GCGCCGTCGGACAGGGACGTGCAGAGCCGCTGTCACCGTCGTTGACGCCGAGCGGCGTTGTCCGAACCGCCGCCTTGAGTAGGCGGTGTCGACTTTACCGTCGCCGTAGTCGCAGTATCTGTCCCCGAGCAGCGCCGCATTGATGCGGCGCTGCCGTCGTCGACGCCGAACCAAACCTCACGCCCGCCGTAGCGGTGCATGGCCAAAATGTAGAAAATATTGGAAAATGCTGGGATTATTTTCAACGGCCCACTACAAGTCGCTAGTGATGGAGAGAGGTTGAACGTGCTGATTTGCGGCATCGTTGGGCACTGGGTGATTTTTCAATGAATTGATTTGAATAAAATGGCATTTTCGAAACCACGCTCTACGCGCGGAGCCACAACGCTGGGATCATTTCATGCGCCAAGGACAAGTCTGTCTAGAGTTCTGGTGGCCAACTATGTTCGCTCGATAGTCTCCCACGAGCAGCTGGCCGCACTAACGTCGCAAGAGAGCAAATCGTGCTTAGCTGATTAGACTAAGAACGGAGAGCTCAGGACCGCAAAGCCCGCCGCGACGCCGCCTTCGTTCGTGCTCGAGAGCTACACGCATCCGTCGTCGTCCAACACCAATACACTAATAGCGTACCTTGGTGCGAAGCAGGTGGCCCGCATGCGCGTTCAAAAGCGGCTTGCCGTGCTCAAACAAGCTCACGCTGTAGAGTCCGAGCTCGCTGATCGTGGCGCCGGCCACGGCCTGGGCGTTGCGGACGAGTATCTATTGGCGAAGAGGTGACGCGTCGACGTCGACTCGTGTGACGCACCGCAGGTGTCTCTTGGGGCACGATGCGGTCCATGAGAATGTACGACTCGAGCTCGGCCGGTGTCATATTGTCCATTTGGACCACCACGTCGTCGCTACGCTAATTGAGACCGTCGTACACTAAATCGCGTCGTTCTACCCGTAAAAGTTGTTGCCGCCGCCTTCGCGCTGGGGCTTGAGCACGTACGCGTGCGGGTTGGCGCGCACGTTGGCCTTGATCCTGCAAAATAGTGTAAGACATGGCGCACACCGCATGCGCGTACTGGGCCAAGCTCGGCGACGTGGTCTCGAGGCCGTAGAGGCCGGTGAAGCAGGCCTCAAGCACGCGGCTGTCGGCGTCCGACATGAACCGGCGCAGCTGCGCGGGGTCCGCGAGCACCTGCTGCACCTTCTTCGTGCCTGCGAGGTGGTACGTGACGTTGGGGCACTTGATTGCGCGCGACGTCTCGATCATGTGTCGCCCTGCCCACTCGCGCTCGCTACAACGGTCTGTGCAGCCATGCGTTTGTAGAGATCTACCTCGGGTAGTCGGTGGGCGTGTAGCCGGCGCGGAAATAGGCGACGGCGACTTCGTACTTGCCGTCGACGATGAGCGCTTTCGTTGTCGACTCTGTCGTCGCGGCTTGCATCTGCGCCAAAGGTGATATCCCTCTATATTCGAACGAGCGTCGCGTACCTCGAGGAGCGTGCGGCGGAGGACCTTGATCTGGTGCTGCGTCCAGAGCGTGTACTCGAGCCAGCGCTGGTCGACCGAGTTGCTTTCGTTGGGCTGCACGACAAAGAGCACGACCGCGCTAGGTGGGTATCGTATAAAACCGCGGAATCGGTCGACGGAATCGCCTACGCCGGGCGGCCATAGTGCGCGTGGGCGGTCGCGAGCGCCGCCGGAAGCGCTTGGAGCGCTGCGTTCGATGGCAAGTGCGACGATAGCGACGACGACGTGCCATAGTACGCGGCAAGCGCGGGGATGTCGGCTTCAAACCGGGAGAGGAGAAACGTGTGCAAGTCTGTCGCCATCGAGCTCATACTCGCGAACGAGGCCGAGATCGTGTTGAGCTCCACCTGCGTACAGTGCGTTATCGAATGGATGGGAAGAGAACGGTCAATGCACCTGGAGGATCTTGGCCGCGCTTGCGTCGCGCGGGTCGTCGTGCAGCATGTAGTCGGATCGGAAAATACCGAGCGATGCAGGCTGGGCGCGGCTACAAGCGACTATGGGGCGCCATGATCATGCGGTGTATCGTACCCTTGGGCTTGCACCTTCTTCGAAAGCTCGACGAGGCGGCGCGTGAATGGATCTTCGGCGAGCACGCTCTGCAGCTGCGCGTGGAGCCAGTCGGGGTCTTCGCTGATGCGGTCGACGAGGGTGCCAAAGAGCGGCCCGAGCGCGACGCCCTACGTCATGATGTTGAGTCCAAGCGCATGGAAACACGCCAGCCTTGCCTTGTCGAATTGGCTTTTGGGAAACTTGACCGGGAGAAGACAGTACGGGAGGTGGGCGTAGCGCTGCGCGGGCGCCTGGACCAGCATGCCATGGCCGGCGGCAAAGGCTGTGGCCTCGGCGAGCAAGAAGGCGGCCTCGTCTTCCGAGAGTCCCATGCGGTGGGCGGCGGCCAAGGGCGCGGGCGGCGCGGTGTTGCTGCTGCCAGTGCCAAGCGATGCGAGGAGGTCGGCCATTCGGTCCGCAAATTTCAAACTGCAACGATCCTCAGACTTCCGATGACGTGGATTGGTCAAAATGCGACATGACAGCCGCATTGATTGGGTATTCTCGATTGGATTTTATCCAATCAGGTGTGTGTGCTGGACCGCGCAAAGATCGCCGCGAATTCGGAGCAATCGCCGATGAAACCCGCTGGATATGGTCATGGGATACTAGTACCGTCGCGGATAGGACAGTTTGGGGAACGTATCGAGGCATCCGAGCCAACTACCCGCAAAAAGCTTATATCGATGTCAAATATACGAGTCGAATTTGATCGAATTCAGCATAAATGGTGAATGAATGTGTCGGCAATTTCAGAATCTTCACAGAGTAATGAAGATCCCGAGTGTGGATCGCAACCATCCAATGCGAATTCGAGGCTATGCAACTGCACTAAGGAGCTCTGTTTCTGCTTGTCGCTACCTCAAGCGAGAGCTGGCTTCTTGATGCCCGTCATGGGTCGACCAACTGCATGGCTCGCTCCCACTGGCTCACTGCATGTGCACGCTCCAGCTTGTACCATTTCGTTGATTGGCTAAAAATGCAACATCTCTCGTGTGTGATTGGACCTCCAAGAGATATATTGCGAAGCGACCAATTAGCGCGTCCGGCTTGGCGCCATGACTGTGTCGGTCTGTAGTCTTCCACTGTGGACGCTGTGGTTGAAGGAGGAAGAGGACGCCGACGGCGATGGCAGCGCCAACGCGAACCGTGAGCCGGGCCAGGGCTGTTTCGAACTGGCTTCGATGAGCTTTGAGGTTAAAACCAGACGGCAACAGCGTGAACCTTCAAACCCAGGGACTTGTGATGACGTGGATTGGTCAAAATGCGACGCGCAAACGGCCTTGATTAGGCGTTCTAATCCGATTATGTCCAATCAGGGGTGATAGTTCGCCATGACGTTGAACAACAGGTCGCCACAAATTCGGAGCTCTGTTCCATCGATACGTTCACTGGATAGTTTGGATAGTGCCTGGGAAGTATCCAATCACCAAGATCGATCCGGCCTGTGTTCGAAAATAACAGTGCCCGAATCAATTTGTCGACAATCGAATCTTCAAGTTGCTTTCTCAGCAACGACAGTGAATCGGCGTGTCGATCCCGTTTGATGAATTTCAAGGCAACGTGACAACGCTGTAATTGTAAGAGTGCTGTTCCTCCTTGTCGACGTTCTTCTCCTCAGCGAAAGCTGCCATCTTGAAGGCCATCATGGCGCACCTCGCTGCAACATGGACTGCTCGAGTTCAACGCTCGAGCGTGGTACCGCTTTGTTGATTGGCTTAAAATATGGCATCGCTTGCGTGCGATTGGACCTGTCAGTGTTATGTTGCAAAGTGGCCAATCAGCGTGCCTGGCTGGTGAAACGACAATTCACAACACGACCCGATGGCGTCCAAGCTGGCCGGGCTCGCAGTCCTCGTCGGCGCTGCGATTGCTGTCGGCGTCCTCTGGCACTCGGCGTCGTCCTCCTCCTTCAACCACAGCGTCCACTGGCTGCGCGTACGTCCTGTGCTTGGCGTGGCGATGCTCAAGATGGCGGCTGTAGGCGCACCCGGCGACCGGCGGCCTTCTTTACATACTGCTCTACACGTGCTGCGTCGTGCTATGGTGGGCCACGATAGCCCTAAACAGGTTGCTTATGCTTGCTCTAGCCTGCCTGCGACGCTCTTTGAGCTCGTCGCTGGGTACATCTTCGGCTTTTGGGGCGGCTGGGTCATCTCGATTGTTGGCAAGACGACCGGCTCGTGCCTCTCTTTCTACATTGGTAGGCCATTGTCACAGTCGCCGAGGTTGACAGCGCATCCATAGGTCGCTACTTTCTCCACGCTCGCGTCTTGCGAATCCTCGAGTCGGGCGCGCCCATGTTCCGGGCCCTCGTACGCCATGATTCTACAGATGGAAGATGCGACAAACGCTCATGGCAAGTAGGGACTCTTGCTCTCGCGCCCCGACATGAAGTGGAAGATCGTGTGCCTGGCGCGCGTCGCGTGGATGCCCATCGCAATCAAAAACTACGGTCTTAGCGTGCTTCCGGTGCGTCCCGCGTTGATTCTTCAGCTCATTGTACGCTAGGTGCCATTCCCAATGTTCTTTTGGTCGACTCTGATCTTGGGTACTCCGTTTGGCGGCATCTCGTGCTACCTCGGCCACTCGGCCACCGAGGTAAACTCACTAGAACGCGTCACCAGCCCCCGTTTCGGGACGTTTAGGTGTCGTCGCTCCTCTCGGGGAAGCACGAGTCGGGCTATTTCAAGGTCATTCTGATGGCGGTTGGTGCAACGAGCGGACTTACCTTGCTTTGCCTTGTCGGCTACCAAACGCGCAAATATATTGAGGAGCTCGCGGCTGCCGAGCGCGACGGCGATCTCGAGCTCATGGGCGGACAGCACACGCACGAATACGCCCCGATTCGCTCGTTCGACGAGGTCGAGAGTAGTCCTAGTAGTAGTAGAAACTAAACATTTACATAGATCACGATCGAGCTTGTACTCGATGATCATCAAGGCGTTCCAGAATCCAGAATTTAAAACACTGGCTTCACATTCCAAATCCTGGCTCCGAAAGGGGCGTGCGTGTAGCCTCTTCCGGAAGGTGTATCCGGACACTCGAGATTTCAGCGGCGATGGCGGATGTGTCCCGCGAGGTCGGCCACCTCCACGAGATGGTCACGGCCGCGTACGGTATCTTTGCCGAAGCGCGCAACCTCAACTTGAAGCCGCCGCTCCAAGCCAACTCCAACTTCTTCCACTTCGCCGAAATGAGCGACGACGCCGACGCGCCGGCGGCCACCGTGGCCGCGACCGCCGAGCCCGACGCCGACGCCCGGGACATGACGCTGCATGGCGACGAGATTCAGGACTCGTTCACCAAGATCGGCGCCTTCAAGACCGCCTACATCCGCCACTCGATGGAACTCATGGAGGCCATTGCGGCGGCGGCGACGCCATCCCCTCTCGACATGGTATGCCAATGGCAAAGGATGGGACAAGTCACGTGCTCATATGCGTAGGACGAGCTGGTGCCGCTCGTGCAGCGCCGCGACCACCTGCGGAAAGAAGTGCACGAACGCAACGTGGTTATGAAGGGCCTCATCGACCGCCTCCGCGCGCTGCAGCAGGCGCTGTGCATTCTTCAGGGCATGGACCACGCCAACGAAGACGACGTGGCCGCGATCGCAAGCGCGCGGGCCATGGAGGAAGTATAAGCGACGCAACAGGGACTCGATAGTTAAGATTGCGAGCGTTTTGAGCGCTCGGTTGGGATCCGTCGCAGTGGTTTCAAACGGTCACTTTGAGTTTCCGAGCGCAGCAGCAGCAGCATGGCCGACCACCGCAGTAGGCGACGACGCAATACGCGCCGCGTGAGAGCGTCCTGGCGTAGGCAACCAAGGCCACGACTTTGCCGAGGACGAGGAAGAAGAGACGATCAGCGCCGACCTCGGCGGCAGCTACGAAGAGAACAAGCTCGACGAGGCCATGGGCGTCATCCAGGACGTGCTCATCGACCCGAGCTTTGTCCAGATGCAAAACGACTTTTGCGAGACGCATTGCGGTAGGAAATGGGCGACGGCAGAAGATGCGGCATGGAAAGCGACGTAGACTGCTTTGACGACGCGAGCGAGAACAAGCTCATCTACATGGACCTCTTCCGCGAGTACACCAACTTGATCGGTATGTTTGTATGGCAGCGACAAGAGAATTCATACTGGCGCAGAAAACTTTCTCGAGGCGCGGCTGAAAGAAGCCATCGACGACTTTAGCATGGACGCGCTCTGCAGCATGATCCAAGAGCACGAAGACGAAATGACGGGCGACGTGATCGACGTGCTCATGAGCTGCGCCGACTTTGACGAGTTCAAAAGCCTCATGCTCAGCTACAAGTCGCACCAAGCGACGCTTTTCCAGAGTACGTCGCTGCATCCTTGGTCGTAGATGCACCTGCTCGTGTAGTTCACGGCGACAGCTTGGTGTGCGGCTAGCCCGAAACTTAGTAGTCCCTCTACACAATAGCACTACACCTTTGAACCCATTCGCTTTACGTCTGGCTAAAAATGCGAGTGGAATGGCCGCTCTCGTCTTGTCTGAGCCGACCCAAGAGTATCAAGTGCGCTACATTTCTATTGCATCACAAACGAGGTCTAGCGCTATTCATCTTTCTCTTAGCTCTCAGGTCGTAGTGCTTGAATGCAATGAATAGTCGATGGCTAATACCCGATTATGGCAACGAATTTGCTGTTGGCGACGATACGACCGGAATTGATACGTTGATACTCACAAACGTATCCGATGATCCATGTGGCAAATAACAGTATATATTGACCCATTTTGTAAATAGTGTGAGAACCATCACCACATCACAGCAACCACGCTCGACGCCACACAGACGCGGAGACCGCACCGGTTCCTGTCGTTCTATAGCGTTGCGGAATCATGGAGATCACGGTTTCGGCGCCAAACGTGGCGCACGCAGGCGAATTCCAGCGTTGGTTTTTCGAGGCAACGAAATATACGCCGAGTTACACAACATGTTTTCGCCCAGTTTGAGAACTCGACCGACTCCGACGCGGCCTGCCACAGTTGGCTATGTATATTGGCTCGCCCAGCGACCTGCGTTTGGTGCATGATAGGCGCTTGGGTTCTCACAGCAACCACAAACTGCCGAGCGTCGTTTTTTGGTGACTTCGACATCGAAATTCGAGTAAAAATGTTGATCTTTCGCAGAATCCGAAAGCGCTATCTCTCTTATATGGTAACGGAGGGCATGTTGCATTGACGGTGGGCGCTCTAGAGCACGCAACGGCGTCAATAGCAATTTAATACACTAATAAAAAGCTTACACTATACCACGAAGAATTGGTTTCAAATAGTATATCTAATATATCGTCAATAACTCTTGCCACAGAGCTCGAACGGCGATAACACATAGTGTTTCGTACTCTCCATAGTGCATTCTATCACCATGCCAAGTATGAGCGCTTTCGTTTTCAGTCATGATTTGCTCCCCAACTCTCGCTGCCGCAAGCGTGCGGCGTCTGAATGTGGCTAGTTTTGGTTATTTACGGCATATACCATAATTAAGGGTCATCGAACAGCGACGCTGCATCGATTCTTGGCCGTCGGCGTGACTCATTGACGCCTGTGGCATTCAAGGTGGCGTGCTGCCCCGGCGTTGCCCTGCTCAATCTGCAACAGATTAAATGCTAGGACTCCTCTCCTCGTCATCGACCACCGAACGCCGTGCCGCTTCGTAATGTCCCTCTGCTCTTTCGTTGTACATGCCTGGAGCATGCGATTGAAACGCGAAATACTGTACGTAGCGCTCATGCTTCGCACTCGACAGCTCACGACGCTCGTCCAGTGGCTGCCAACGCGCGCCCGTGTCACGATGGACTTGGCCACAAGTTATATTCTTGTGGTGCTGATGGGTGGCATCCGGATAACTGGGTGCGATCGCCGCGGAAGATTTCGGCACCAAATTCGAATTTCACATGGCGTGGGTCGTGCTCAAGTTTGGCGGCACAAGCGTCTCGACCGCGCCGCGCTGGCGCTGCATCTGCCGGCGCGTGGCAACGATCCTCGCCGGCGACGGCAGCCGCGTCTGGGTCGTCATCAGCGCCTTGAGCCAAGTGACGAACCGCCTTACGAGCGCGCTCGACGAAGCCGTCTACGGCACACAGCACCTGCGCAGCTACCACAGCATCTTTGAGCAGCACATGAAGCTTGCAGCCGAGACGACGCTGCTCTCGGAAGCCGAAGCTACGGCCGCGATCGCCGCCGAGCAGTCGCCCGACTGGGCCAATGCGACGCCCGTGCCCGAAGTTGCGCCTTTGATCCACGAATTTCATGTACGCACGCACAGCATTATCTCAACGGCGCTCATGTATCCTAGCAACTACGCCGCGTTCTCGATGGCATTCGGCTAACGGAAGAGGCGTCGCCGCGACTCAAGGCACGCGTCCTTGCGTTTGGCGAGCTCCTGTCGACGCATCTTGGGCTCGAGATCATGCGCGTCAACGGACTGCATTCGACCACCCGCGTCGATGCGCGCCAGGTACATCAACGCCATATGCTACGTTCAAAGACGACGGTTGTACCAACAGGTGCTGCGGTCGGACCCGACGGCCGCGACCGAGATCGACAAGTACCTTGAAGCCAACGTGCGCCCGCGGACGGCCGAGGCTGGCGTCATGGACAGCATTGTGGGCGCCGCCACCGTTGTCTTGACGCAAGGGTTCATCGCCGGCGTGCCAAGCGCCAGTGGCGTCGAGACGTGTGTCTTGGGCCGTGGCGGCAGCGACACCTCGGGTGCGCTCTTTGCGGCGCTCCTCCAAGCGGCGCGGTACGAGATCTGGACCGACGTCCACGGCATGTACACGAGCGACCCGCGGTTCGTGCCGCACGCGCGCCTGCTAAAGAGCCTCGACTACCGTGAGGCGCAGGAGCTCGCGGCCATGGGCGCCAAGGTCCTCCGCGCCACCGTTTCCAGCATCGCTGATGGCACACAAGTAGGTGCTGCACCCACGCTGCATTGGGCCCGCGCACTGGGCCAACGTGCCCGTCGAGATTCGCAACACGAACGACCCCGACGGCGAAAAGACTGTGATTGGCCACCGCGACAACGACCCGCGCGCCAAGGTAGTTGTTTTGTATCAACTTGATACGAGATGCAATGGTTATAGATCATGGCGGTGGTCCGGCGACTCAACATGACGCTGGTGACAATCACCGCGTACGATATGTGTGGCACGTCCGGGTTCCTCTCCAAGGCCTTCTTGCCCTTTGAGCAACTCGGCATCTCGGTCGACCTCATCGCCACCTCCCAGGTACGAGACAGTGTCTATACACTGTATATTGATATTCTGTATGCTCGTTAGTTTTCGGTGAGTGTGACCTTGGACCACATTCCTGGGGGCGTCGCGGGTGCTGCGTTCCAGAATTTGGTTGCTGCGCTCGAGCGGCTCGGCGCCGTTGCAGTCGTCGAGCCGTGCGCGACCGTGTCGGTCGTCGGCCGCCATCTGCGCACGTCGCTGGGTGAGCTTGGCCCCGTCTTCCAGTTGCTCGCAGGCTACGAAGTGCTGCTACTGAGCGAGTCAGCCGAAGACCTCAACCTGAGCTTTGTCGTCTCGGAAGCCGACGCCGACGGGCTCGTCACCAAGCTCCATGCCGCGCTCTTCCCGCCCATGGAAGAGAAAGCAGAGACGACAACGCTGAGCTACCTGCGGTCGCCGTCCCGCGACGCGCTCCTCGGGTCGACGTACTCGGCGCTCTTGTCGTCGCCCCGAGCGTTCACGCTGTAGATACCTTCATGTATAGAGCTATCGAAGACGATGCAAGCATGATCGTATTTCGTGTTGGATCCGGTTCTATTCGTGAGTACATGATGCTCCAGGATGTCAGGCACTGAAGAAGAGACGGACATGGAATGGGTCGGCGCTCAGTCGCTTGCGTCGTAGTCGTCGTCCTCTGCAATCGTCATGGGTGCACTCGCCACGGGCTCGGGTTCGGGCGGAGGGGCAGGTCGCTTGGCGCGCTTGGCGCTGGCTGCCGCGGTAGGCGTCGTCTTCTTGCGCTTTCGCAGCATGGCTTTTGTCTCAAGAACCGTCATGTCTTCGATAAAGCTGTAGAGAGGCGCGAACGCGGGCTCGGCCAAAAGCATCGCCTTGCTACTCGTGGGCATGAGCCATCGAATAATGCCGTCGTAGCGTACAAGGCGTCAGGCGACAGGCTGCCGCCAGCGCGGAGCTCGACGGCTATGCGCTCGGCCAGCTCGAGCACGAAGGCGCGCGTGACGTCGCCTGCACAGCATGAGAGAACGAGGCGAGGCAGCGGTGCACGTACAGAGGAGCGCGGACGACTCGGCCCGGAGCTGCGACACATCGCGGTCGTCCTTGATGAGCTTCTTGAGGTGCGACTACGCAGCGCATGAGCCCGCGCGATCGTGGAGGTGGCCATCGACCTGCAGCGGGTCCGAGCGCATGGCACCACCAAGATATTGGTGTCGTTTAAGTGCGCCCGTTGCTCTAACCCTCCATAAATCAATATCGCTTCGCAAACTAAATCAGCTCCCGGGCCTCCAGTGCTAATTTACCTCTTATACTCGATGTTTGGCGAGCTTTCATTTCTTGGATCCGACAAGGACCAGCGTGCTCACCCGCTTGGCTTCAGAGTCGACAAGAACGCATGCACCATAGACCTCTAGCGCTCAGTGCGATAGACGTACCATGGCCATCGAGCCTGTGGCGCCTATTGCAGACGCTCGGTGCCATCGAAAGCGTACTTAGTCGAGAAAGATCCAAAGGCCTGCTTAAGTACGCCAATCTTGCGCGGGCACGCTAGAAAACCTGTCGTAAATGATACCCTATGAGAATCAGTATACCAAATCGATGACCTTATGTCTTCAATTGGGAACATACCCGTGAAAACAGATATCTGCAAACATAGCATACGGAGAAGTGAGCTTGAAATATAAAATCTCGCAGGGTTTGATGTGGGGAGCAAAGGCCAATTTGCGATTTTCATATTGCAGCCGCAAGATGTTCCAGACCAAGTAGGCGCATGGCCACCGCGCCGAGGCTCATGGACGCGTAGGACGGACTACGATCGCGGTGTCAACACCTTCTCCCCTGAAGGCCGCCTCTTCCAAGTCGAGTACGCCATCGAGGCCATCAAGGTACAACCTTCGCATGTGGGGTCGAGCCTCATGCGTACGAATGTAGATGGGCACGACGGCCGTGGGCATCCGCACGACGGAGGGCGTCGTCTTGGCGGTCGAGAAGCGCATCACGTCGCCGCTGCTCGAGCCCAGCAGCATCGAAAAGATCATGGAGGTCGACTCGCACATTGGCGTGGCCATGAGCGGTCTCACGGCCGACGCGCGGACGCTGATTGACCACGCCCGCGTCGAGGCGACGAACCACTGGTTCAGCTACAACGAGCGCATCCGCGTCAACGCCTTGACGCAGGCCGTGTGCGACTTGGCGCTCAGCTTTGGCGAAGGCAGCGACGAAAACAGCCACAAGCAGAAGATGAGCCGCCCGTTCGGCGTCGCGCTGCTCATCGCAGGCGTCGACGAGTCGGGCCCGCACCTCTTCTACTCGGACCCGTCGGGCACGTACCTCCGTGTGCACGCCAAGGCCATTGGCTCGGGCCAGCAGGGCGCACAGAACAACCTCAAGGAAAGCTACAACGAAAACATGTCGCTCGCGGACGCCCAGAAGCTGGCGATCGGCACCCTGAAACAGGTATATTGCTCATCACCGAGGCCATATCTCATCGATGTATGTAGCACATGGAAGAGAAGCTCTCGAGCATCAACGTCGAGCTTGCTGTCGTGACCGCGGCCCAGGGCTTCCACGTGTGCACCGTCGAAGAGCTGGACGCTGTCATCGCCCGCTTGTAGGTGCATGGATCGGCGCTGGTAGCCTAAGACCTCGTCGGATAGCAACACGATCTTTTGTGCTTCATACGTTGGAGGTTGCTCGCAGGGGTAGCTCGTCTACTTGGCTAATGGTGATGGACCGGCTGGCGATGGCGGCGCCTAGGTATCCGGATAGTGGGTTTCGCGGCAGCATGGTGGAACTCTGGCTGGTCCGACACGGCGCGACCGAGTGGAACACCGAGGGGCGGTGGCAAGGACAGACGGACGTACCCTTGAGCGCGGTCGGCCAGGCGCAGGCGCTGGCACTCGGCGACCATCTGCGTGCGCTCCATGCGTCTAAGCCCTTTGACGCGATCGTCTCGAGGTACGACGAACTTCCGGACGTAGCAGGCAATCGATGGCCCACGTAGCGACCTGAGCCGCGCCGCCGACACTGCGCGCGCCATTGGCTCTGCGCTGACGCTGCCCGTTGCACTCGACGAGCAGCTCCGAGAGGAACAGTACGGCGTTCTCGAAGGACACACGGCGGCCGAGATGCAGGCCGATCCGATTCTCCTCGCCGCCTGGAGAGCGCGGAAGGCCGGGCGGCCGAGCGACGGCGCCGAGTCGCGCGCCGACTTTTACGAGCGCGTCGGCGGAGCGCTTGAAGCGCTGCGCCTACGCACCGGGCGTGTCCTCGTCGTGGCGCACGGCAGCTTCATCATCAACTGCTATCGCCACGTACATGGTCACGCCATTGGATCCACCGTCATCCGCCAAGGCCGCTGCCCTCGCATCGGGAACACAAGCCTGAGCATTCTTCATGGGTCGCCGGCGACGTGGGCCGTCGCACGCTGCCAGTGGGGCCTCACCCCGCACTTGGCGGCCGGCGACAGCAGCGCTAGCCTTCTGGACGAATAGTTAGTGGATCCTATTGACTACAACACGAATGGTTGACCATGAGCTAATGGCGGCTTCAGCATGGTGTTCGCTATTAGCTCATGGTCAACGACTCGTGTTGTACTCGAAAGGATCCACTAACTATTCGTCCAATGGTTGACCATGAGCTAATGACGAAAACCATGCTGAAGCCGCCATTAGCTCATGGTCAACGACTCGTGTTGTAGTCGATAGATCCACTAACTATTCGTCCAGAAGGTTAGCGCTGCTGTCGCCGGCCGCCAGGTGCGGGGTGAGGCCCCACTGGCAGCGTGCGACCCATGAAGGATGCTCAGGCTTGTGTTCCCGATGCGAGGGCAGCGGCCTTGGCAGCATGGCGCCAAGGTCCGTGGTCAAGATCCGACGATGCTGGCGTTGCCACGTGGCGGCGAACCCGCCCGAGGCGACATGGGCGGGTTGGCCAATCCGCACCCGAGATCAAACCCGCAAGCAGTCACTCCCCTCAGATAAATTCGGCCGAAGAAAGAAACGAAGCATGGAGAGCAGTGCTCGTGGCGAGATCAAGTCGCTGGACGAGCAGATCAGCCGCCTGCGCCGGGCCGAGAACCTCTCGGAGGCCGAGATCATGGAGCTCTGCAAGAAGGCCAAGGAGATCCTTAGCGCCGAGTCGAACGTGCAGCCCGTGCGCTGCCCCGTGACCGTCTGCGGCGACATCCACGGCCAGTTCTACGACCTCCTCGAGCTCTTTTGCATCGGCGGTCAATGCCCGGATACGAACTACCTCTTCATGGGCGACTACGTCGACCGCGGCTACTACTCGCTCGAGAGCGTCACGCTCCTCGTCGCGCTCAAGGTACCGTCTCGCCCCTGTGTCTCGAGCCTTAGGTCACATTGGCTAGGTGCGCCATCGCGAGCGCATCACGATCCTCCGCGGCAACCATGAGTCACGCCAGATCACGCAGGTCTACGGCTTTTACGACGAGTGTCTCCGCAAGTACGGCAACGCCAACGTGTGGAAGTACTTTACGGACCTCTTTGACTTTTTGCCCATGACGGCGCTCATCGAGAACCGCGTGTTTTGCATGCACGGCGGCCTCTCGCCGTCGATCGACACGCTCGACCACGCGCGCGCGCTCGACCGCGTCCAGGAGGTGCCCCACGAAGGCCCGATGTGCGACCTCGTGTGGTCGGACCCGGACGACCGCTGCGGCTGGGGCATCTCGCCGCGCGGCGCGGGCTACACGTTTGGGCAGGACATCACGGAGCAGTTCAAGCGCAGCAACGGGCTCACGTTCATCGCGCGCGCGCACCAGCTCGTCATGGAGGGCTACCAGTGGACGCACAACCGCGGCGTCGTCACGATCTTCTCGGCGCCCAACTACTGCTACCGCTGCGGCAACCAGGCCGCGCTCATGGAGATCGACGAGGTCATGGCCGACCGCGGCGGCGACAAGGTCTACGACACGTGCAAATTCATTCAGTTTGATCCGGCCCCGCGCGACCACACGTTCAACGAGAAGAAGCGGACGCCCGACTACTTCTTGTAACAGCCTTTTCTACCCTCACTTGCGCATTAATACCATCCCACCCGGTGTATGCTCCTCGTCTCTCCTCGGTCGGCTCATGACCAAAGTGACGCAACGCTGTAACGTTTAGCGCGTAGCTTCTTCTCTATACCTTGTCGCTAGGAACTCTTACTTGCAGGCGTAGCCAGCTCGGAGCCCGGGGTTGAAGCCGGCGACCGTTTGTCCAACGCCCAAGAGACACTTGGCTCAAAATAGATCGACAAAACTTTCCTCATCCAACACCACTTGTCGTCTTTCTCGCTCACGGATGGACACGGCTGTGGACGGGGTGCTCGCGACCGAGCCGGGGGCTGCGCCCATGGCTCTCGAATTTAACCTCCCGCCGTCCGACAAGCCGATGCGCGTGTCGCGCCCGAGCCGGCTCAACACGCAGATCCTCGGGCAGCTCCAGACGCGCAAGTACATTTTGACGCTTGGCTTTTTCATCAGCTGCGTCTGGAACCTCGTGGCGCCGCTGAAAGCGTGGGCGCTCTCTCGGTACGGGTTTGTGTCGACGGCCGACACGATCGTGCTCAACGTCAACTGGAACACGGTGCTCAACGGCCGGTTCCTCACCCAACTCTACACCTCGTCGGGCATTGCGCTACGCGCCCCGCGCCCCGCCGATCGGTACATCAACGTCTTCTTGGACTTTATCGTGGTGCCACGTTCCGAGCTCACGTGGGCCAAGTCGCTCTACGGCACTGGCAACATCTTCCAAATGGACTTGGACGGCCGCTGCATGCGCCAGAGCCTCGATGGGCCGCGCCAAGCCGACCAGTTCAACAAGGACATTCTGGCGTACACAGCCAGTGGGTATCCGCTCTGGGGCACCGAGGTCGTCCGCGCCATGGTGCCACCCGTGCCGGGGTTTGTGCAACTGCACGAAATCTCCGAGGCGATGCTGTGCCTCAAGGGCATGCCGCTCGAAGATTACGTCAACGTCCAGTTCGTCTCGTCGCTGCAGCCGTACAACAAGTCGTCGGACGCGGCCGCGATCGCCATGTGGCGCCAAAAGCTCTTCCCAAACCTCAGCGAGTGTCTCGCGCGCCGCGCGGCACTCGTGGCGGCCGCCAACCCGCCGGCCGACGGCGTCGCCGCGCTCGCCAAAGAGCTCGCAGCGACGTTCAAAACGGGCGTGGTCAACATTGCCGGCAACGCCCAGCTCTACACGCCCATGACCTTTCTCGACGGGTTCGTCGACCTCTCGGGCCTCAAGTCGGGCTCCGTGACGTACCAGCTCAACGGCCGCGACCCGTCCGCGCTTCTGTTCGCGGGCAGTGGCTATCTCGACGCGGTAATGAACCCGCGCGAAACCGCGTGGTGGTGCTCGATCCAGTACGTCGACCCGGCGACCAACAGTCCGAACGCGACGCAGTGCTTTGAGAAGGTGGCGACGACGCTCCCGTCCGTCTTCCTCGGCAAGTACGTGGTCGCGGGCGCCGGCTCGCGTTTCGTCGACTCGGCCGACTTTACGAA